AAAGTGGGAGAGAAGGCCTGGTGGCTTTGTGACCCCTCTCTATCATCGCCACCCTGTCCCTTCTGCCCGTTTTTTAAATTTTTTTTTCAACATTTATTTATTTTTGGGACAGAGAGAGACAGAGCATGAACGGGGGAGGGGCAGAGAGAGAGGGAGACACAGAATCGGAAACAGGCTCCAGGCTCCGAGCCATCAGCCCAGAGCCCGACGCGGGGCTCGAACTCACGGACCGCGAGATCGTGACCTGGCTGAAGTCGGACGCTTAACCGACTGCGCCACCCAGGCGCCCCTTTCTGCCCGTTTTTATCAAAGGTGCTGTAAACATGGGCATCAGACGGATTCTCGCGTGTTCTCCTTGTTTCTGCCTGACACACTCCCCGTGCATCTTGTCAGAGACGACTCTAAATCTGGAGCCTCAGAACCTGAAGAAATGAAGTCTTCTCTCAAAAAGTGCGGCTTCCACAGAGGAAGTCGCTCTTGGCGTTCCATTTGGTGAAGTGCCATCCTGATGCAATGCACGACACTGTGGAGGCTGCACGTAGCGGATCCCGCCTCCGAAGGGCCCAGCCCGCCCCGGGATTAGTCACTTGGCTATCTCGCCGGGCAGCTAGTAATTCAGAGATAATCATGTTACCCAAGATGCCATTTAATCTGTATTTGGCATATCTCGAGTTTTCATCTTCATTAATAGAGCCATCAAAGTTTTCATTGGGCCCGACTGGTATTGGGAGCACTAGTGATTCACCCGGGGGGGGGGGGGGGGGGGGGTTGCAGTTTGCATGGAGAAACCCTGCTTGCCAGATGGCTGCTGTTAATCTGCTTGCATCAGGAGTGTGTGTGTGTGTGTGTGTGTGCGCGCGCGTGCGTGGAGGGGGAGGCTAAGCTCTCCTGGTCCCCAGCCAGTAGGACTGTCCCTCACCTCTGATTACACATCGCTGCCGGCCAAGCCTAGGAAACCTGGTCCCTTGCGGCAGGGTGGGCTCGCCACTCCCTGCTGGCTTGAAGGGAGCTTGAGGGAGTGGGTGCCCGACAAAGGGAAAGCCTTGCTGCCTCTAGCCTAGGCCATCCAATCAACCGATTCCTGTGGAAGGCAGTATAGTACAATGGAAGGGTGCTAACCTGGGAGTCAGAGAAACTTGGCTTTAAACCCTGACTCTATACTTAACTGGCGACGTGAAGTTACACACATCGCGTAACCTCTTGGAGCCTCAGACTCTCCCCTTTACATGATATGAACCTGATGGCATCACCCTGGTAGGTTTCCCACAAAGGAGTCAGAACCAGGGAGCTGGATGGAGACCCATCCTTTAGTCCCATGACCTGACTGTCCCACGTCTGAGTGTAGAGCCCGGGGAAGCTCTGATCAGCCTCCCCGTGGGGAGGCTGGATGAAGAGGCTCATCGCAGTGTTGTCTGTGGTAATGAGGGTGATGGAATCTCAGGGTTCATCAGGGAGCAGGACAGATAATGGGATGCCAAGGAGGCTTCTCGCGCAACACCATGGAACCGTGTGAAGTGATAGAGGTGAATCTTAAAGACTGTGCTGGGAAAGAGAGAAAGAAGGAAAGAAGGAGGAAGGGAAGAAAGAAAGAAAGGAAGGAAGGAAGAAAGAAAGAAAGAGGACAGAAAGAAAGAGAAAGAAAGAAGGACAGAAAGAAAGAGAAAGAAAGAAAGAAAGAAAGAGAGAGAAAGAGAAAGAAAGAAAGAAGGAAAAGAGAGAGTGGGGGAAGGAAGGGAGGGAGAAAGGAAGGAAGGAAGACACAAAGTCTGTGGACATCATTCGTATCAACTGAAAACACACTCAGAACAAGAGACTACTACGTGTCTTGTGAAGACACATATTCCAGGATATCGTCAAACCTGATACTAGCTTTTATGGAATGGGGCGCAGCAAAATGGCAGGGGGAAAGGGATACACACACGTGCAGTGATAATGAGTTGAGGAGTATGACTTAATGTTCTGCCCCTGGGTCTGAAAGAAAAAGAAAAGGTGACGGAAAAGTTACGGGAAGGGAGAGGATTTAAGAAGAGTGGTGCTTTGGGGGCTTCAGGGCGTGAGGGCAGGCACCTGTCTGGCTGTGGAAGGCTCTCCATGAGGGTCTCTTTCTCTCTCTGCCGAGGGTGGGGTTCAGAAGGCTTAGGAAACACGCGACGGGAGACTGCAGCCGCCGAAGGGCCTGAGATCCTCATTTGCTCTTCTCTGAATTCTCAATCTCCACAGACCCTGAACTGCCCGAAGGCAGTTCTCTAATTTTTCCAGAATTCTCATTACAGACTCAATTTCTGTGGCTCGGTCACCGTAGAGTTTTACGAAGGTGTGGTGCTCATTCTTGTAAAACCAGTTGAGAATTTCCTGGATCCCCAACCCTCAGCCCCTGCGTAGAAGTGTCCTGTTCTAATCAATGAGACCTTTGTGTGCAATGGGGCCGAAGGATGTGACTGTGTGAGAGAGAACTACAGGAAACTCCCATCGTTTCTCTAGGGTCTGAAAAAAAAAAATCGTAAGTATGTAACGGGGCACCCTGGGTAGCCTCCTTTTGTTAACTTATGAATTGGAAGACAAAGGTGGATTTATTGGAAGAGTGTAATTAAGTGTCACTGTGGTACGGATCATAATTATGACCAATATAATAAAGCAGAGGGAGAAACAATTTCCCTCCTGAATGGCATCACCCGTAGTAAGCCTTGCCGTCCTCAAAGCTCTGTGTTCATTTCCTTTAAATATAACAAATAAGGCAGGCATAAAATAACGTGATCTGTAAAGGAAGGAGGGGTGATCTGTAATCCACTTCCTGCCTTAGAAGCGAAAGTTTTGAGATAAGATTGAAGATAAAACCCAGCAAGATACCTCTGGGCGGAGAGGCCTCTCTTGTGTCAAACTTCTGGATATGACCAGCAACCCCTGCTTTCTCTTCTTTTCTTCCCTTCCTCCCCGGCCCCCTTCTCTGTTAGCCAGTCGGATTCTTATCCCTCTGAAGGTGATGATTTGTTCGAGAAGGGGTGTATGATCCAGGCTAAGCCAGTTCAAGGCTTCCCTGGGACTTCGGCTGGTGACAGAAAGGAGCAAGGGCTCTCCTATCCGGAACAGCCATAGGTAATCCCGTAACCGCTGGCAAAGAGAGCCTGGCTGAGAAGGAAGCCAGTGAAGACGACAGGGCAGAGCTGGGCAGCCTCCAGAGTGGGATGAATCTAAGACATCTCACCCGAGTGCCTGCGCTCAGCCATGCTGGAACCCCGAGTTCTCTAGACCCTTCGCTTATGTCAACGAATCAGCTCCTCCTTTAGCTTTGAGCTGGTGGAGTTTTCATTTGCACACCCAGGATTTTTGAGCTGTGCCAAGAAAGTAAGGTAAATACTGCCTCACCGGGGAGCGTGTGCTCATTTAGCAAACATTGAGCGGATGCTTGCTCTGTGCCAGAGAGACCCTTTGCGTAGCAAAATCGCATCTTATACACGTCGTTTTTCGCATGACAGGAACACAACTGCCATGTGTGAATTCAACTCTGTGTGAATGCAACTTTGTGTGTGTGGGGGTGGGTGGGTGTACTTGTATGTGTATCCCTTTTCTTCAATGACTACACGGTAATATGACCATCTGTTGGGTTACCTGGGGCACACCACACGGTGGCCCAATTCATGAATTCTCTGCCAACGCCTCGATTGGCATGAGGGCGCCAAGAACTACTTTCGTGCTCGTAGGCCGATGAGCTGTGTGACCTTGGGCAATCTGCTTAACTTCTCTGAGCTCTCCGTGTTTCTCTGTAGAGTGGAGAGAGTAATATTCTGCATATCAACTGACGGTTGTTAGTAGCAAACAAACAACTTCGTGTAGAGTGCTTAGCATAGTGGCTGGCACAGAACGAAATCACGCAGGGGGTGCCCGGGTGGCTCAGTTGGCTAAGCGCCTGACTCGATTTCGGCTCAGGTCGTGATCTCACAGTCGTGAGATCGAGCCCCACGTAGGGCTCGGGCTCTGAGCGGGCTGTGGCGTCCTCTTAAGGTTCTCCCTCTCCCTCTTCCTCTGTCCCTCTTGCACTCACGCTCTCACTTGCCTCTGTCTCTCTCAAAAAAAGAGAATCATTCAGTAAATGATAGCCATTGTTAATGTTCTCATTACCACAGTCCTCATCACCTTCATCATGGTAAAGGAAGCTGGGACGGAAGTCTGAATACTTTGCACGCATACGGGGCTTTGGCGACCATTCACAAAGTACCGTCTCATCCGATTTGATACAGTGAGCCCACCGCCACGCAATACCCATTTCACATTCTGGCTTCTCGCGAGTTGACAAGAGCGATTTTTTTCGAAGGTTTCCATGATCTTTGGCAAGATCTGCTGAGTCTACTATCAAATATAAGGGGCTGAGAAATGCATTCGTTTGGGCAAAGACTTAAAAAAAAAAAGAAAGAAAGAAAACATTTCTAGGACAAATGTGGCCCGGCGCTAAGTATCTTGAATCAAGGCTGGAGTTTAACTGCTTAATAAAACTTGGGTTGCAATTGTTACACTTGTGAACACCTGGTCGGGGGAGACAAAGTGGTGTTTTGACAAGAACGGCTTTTTCTTTCCCCTAATACATGACTGCTATCAAACAGGAAAGTTTGAAGCCAACTCTTTTTTAACTTCTTTGCTCACTGGTCATTTAAAATAGTCTTAAAGTTTGGACCTCGTGAAAGACTGTGTGTGTTTCATGTTACCAACATGAGCAGATTGTTGAATTTGACGCATTTAAATGTTTTCTTTGTGGCATGTTTTTCACAAAGGCACGCTTTCAAAATGCTGAAATACGGACCCGTTGTCAGATCACTCGGTTCTTTGCACAGGAAGATGCTTTTGGATTAACAACTGGGCAAAAATCCTTAATTGTGTGGTCGAAGGGAATGCCGCGCTTTTGATCCCACGCACCTTTCTAGAATAAGAAAAGGCCTTGATTTACTAATTGAGCAAAACTTGCTCACAATTCTATTTTTGTTTGTCTGTTTGTTCTTGTTTTGGATCAGGGTGTTGTTTTATCCAGTTCAGGGAAGACACGGCTTCTTCATTAACTGCTAAGGTGACGGTGATGCTGCGGAAAGAAGTCATACAGGTTTACAGGTACAAATTCTAATGATCTCTTGCCTCAAAAACCAAGAACAAACCAACAGGCATATAAGGCAAAACTGTCTTGGGTATTTCGATTATTTCCTCTTGCTCAGAGCTCCAGCCAGAAGCTGGAAGGAAGACTGAATTCAGACTTTTACTCTGTTTGGGTTGCCCCGTTACTGGGTGACTTTTGATGTTGCAACACGAGTGTTTTTCATTCTATACCCTCGATTGCTGATTGATTCTGCACCCAGATTCTCCGAGTAGTTTATCAAGAGCAATCACTTCTGCATCCTTCATTGTGCATCACAAGGTGCATGCCGAATTGTAGACTTCCGTATTAACACCCATGATTAAGGACAGCAATCGTTAAATGAAGATGAGTCACAATATTTAGGTTTTATGAATTCTTGATGCGTTTTGAAAGACAGGGGGCGGGGTTCTCCTAATGCTGGAGCAATGGCTTAGTAGTAAATTAGGCATCCTTAGAAGCTATACGAAGATAATGTTGCAGAAGTTTTTGATAATATGGGAAAGCGGTATGTTAGCGTCGGTGGACAGCCTGTCCCAGAGAAAGGAGCCACAGGGACAGGCTACCCCCATTTAGCTTCACACGGTCAACGAGCGTTTTAGGTAACTTACTGCCAAGAGTTCCGTCAACGATTCTCAAATTTTACATTTAAACTTAGCAAATATTACTCCTATGTTTCACAGGTGGGTCATATGTGGTCAGCTGGATATTCCATACGCAAAGGGAACCTGGGGGGGTGGCGCCTGGGTGGCTCAGTCGGTTAAGCGTCGTGCTCTTGACTGCGGCTCAGGGGATGATCTCCCCGTCATGGGATCGAGCCTCCTGTGGAGCTCCTCGCTGAGCCTGGAGCCTGCTTGGGGTTCGCTCTCTCTCTCTCTCTCTCTCTCTCTCTACCTCGTTCTCTCTCTCTCCCAAAATAAATACACGAACGTTACAAAGAAACTCAAAGGGAACCTGGATATTTGCAGAGGTCTCCCTTAGCTGTGGGCATGCATAAGGTCGAATTAGCCTTAATTAGCTCTTGAGAGCCTCTCTTGGACCACAGGACCTCCAGTGACTGCCTGGTCCCTTCCATCACTCCATCTGGGCTCCACTGGGCTCGGCAGTTCTCCCCTGCAGCTCAGCACGGAGCGTCAGAGTGGCTGTGAGTGGAGTGTGTGTGGGGCGGGGAGGTCCTTCTGTCTGTGTGTCCCACTTTATCACTTCAGCCTGGAGGCAGTGGCAGTTTGGACCGGAGTCTCCCTGTGGCTTTCATCCAAATAGACCCTACCTCTTCCTGCAGTGTCTCTCTCATGCGTCAGACTGAGTTTCCAGCCCTGGGGAAACAGCACCCTTCTCCACGTACCTGGCTTTTCCTGGTCCTTCACGGACGTCTGTTCTCCAAAATTTTTCTCTGTTAGTCCAAACCCCCAACAACATGGGACATGCACTCATTCGAATAAATGGGATAACAAGACGGGGGGTTTGTGGCCCCCCCAAGTCTCAGCACAGACAATGCTACTGTTAGTATATTTTATTTTTAATGGATCATTTTGGAAGATGGCCTGAGTATAGTGGCAACTTGGGCTCAAAGGATAAACAGACCCGGGCATTTCATAAAAAGCTTCTTTTGTGATTTTGTGGCTATGACTGTAGTAGATGCTCAAGAAACTTACTTTTAGTAGATACAGAAAGTGAACGGGAATTTAAAGAAGTCTGTGAAAGATCAAAATAAGACGCTTGCCGTGATGGTTTCGCGGGCTGGTTCAGATATCAAAGCGACTGAGTGCTCAGGAATCAGTGACTTCTGCATGATATTTGCATAGAGAGAACTTTGAAAAGGTTACAGTTCTTTTCTCCTTTCATATTTACTCTGTGCTAAGGTTAGAGGATCTCGCTGGCAATGCTGCTGATGCTATTTTTGCAAACTCCAACTCAGTGTTTAAATGTAGCAGGATGGAAATTTCGAGCTACCGCAATAATAAATATATCTGACATCCTTGTAACTTCCAAGTTGTACTACGCCTGAGAGTCGCGAAGGCTGGTTTTTTGCCTTGAACTCTGAAGTAAGAAAGACACTTTTGTTTATAAATTTCAGAGATTTTTGTCTTTGCACTTACCGCGAAGTCAGATGTAGATATAATCCACTTTAAGCACTTTGGGCAAAATGCCAAATATGCCTGTTGTTTGATAAGGGGGAAGAAAAAAAATCCCAACTTTGTGTCAACACAAATCCTTTACACCGCGTTGCGGTGCGTGACTTCTGTCGGTCAAGCTGGGATCTGGGACATCTTTCTGATCCATTTTAGTTATGCCTGATTCTAAATTGAGTTATACAGAATTGAACTTAACAGGACCCGGTTTCCATATTCTTTATTCCTCCCTTCTAAAGATGGAAAATTTTATATGCCGATTTCAGTGAAATGATCTAAGGGTGTTGAGAATCAAAGATGATTTCAGTTGTGCTTCGGCGTGGCCTATATTGGACTCCTTTGCAGAGATATTCGGTAGCAGAACGATGTTGTGTCTATGCGTGCGTATTTTTTCAACTGCCCATGCTTAGATGTGTAAACTAGACTGTGAGTGCCCGAAGGGCAGGGTTGTGTGGGGGTGTCCATTTTGTTAGCCTTGTGACACCTGGTGGAAGGCTTTTGAGAAAAAAAAAAGCCATTTTATGATCATGTAGTCTTTATATTCCCGAAGATGTCTGTCTGTGACTTTTCTTACAACCATGTGGCAGTCAAGAGTTAGATGCTCAACCAACTGAGCCTTACAATCCTTATTTCTTTTTTTTTTTTTAATTTAACTTATTTTTGAGAGAAAGAGAGAGAGAAAGCATGAGTGAGGGAGGGGCAAGGAGAGAAGGAGAGAATCCCAAGCAGGCCCCACACTATCAGCGCAGAGCCCCTCGCTGGGCTCGAACTCACAAACCATGAGATTATGACCTGCGCCGAAATCAAGAGTTGGATGCGTAACCAAATGAGCCACCCAGGTGCCCCACAGTCATTATTTCACAGATGATAAACTTGAGCTTCAGAGAGAACAATCTGTGATTCCCTCGATGTATTTTACTCCACTTTTCTTGAGCCATTTTACAGTGAGTGGAAGGAGCGTCACTAGACAAGGGTGATGGGGAGAGGGCTGCTGGGAAATGGTATGTCTGAATTCCTGTGTCAGGTTGGTGACAGTTGATAGGAGCCTTCCTACAGACCACAGGACTTCTCCATCGCTGCGGGCACCTCCCGTCCTGGACTGGAGGGAGCATCAAACCATATTCTCAACAGCCGCGAGCAAACCTCAGCATGGTTGGCGGTGAGGTTTTTAAATGGAGGTTAGTGGAAATCCATCTCTGGCCTGAAAGTGGTCTCCAAGGTGCCTGCAGTGTGTTTTTCCTTAAGCTGCAGGGTCAGTCTTGGAGTTGCTGGACCGTCTTCACCTCATTTTTACTTGGTCTTGCTCATTGTAGACCAAGTTATCACTCAGATAGACAGGAGGTTGTACTGGGAATGGGTCGACAGCGAAAACAGGACCGGTTGGGCACGTGCTACCTTGTATCTTTGGGTTACAACTATTTATAAAACAAAATATGAAAACTAGAACTCTCAGAGTTCCAGTGAGAGACTTAACGTTTAGGTAAGTCTCGCACGTAATTCTGGGTTGGACAGTGTAACAGTTTGGCTTGCCCCGTGGCAGTGTGCTATGGGCTAATACATTTCCATCCAATTCAACAAATGGTTTAATTGAGCACCCGTTACAACAACATGTCAGGCGGCTGTGGGACAAGGTGGGAAGTGACAGGTGCACTGTCCTTGTCTTCATGGAACGTATAAGTTTAGTGGGGATAGATGAGAAGAAGGGAATGAAGGTTGGGTTCATGTGATGAAAGAACAGCCCCATGAAATGGGGTTATCTTTTTCAGAGAGGTGGGTGTGCTGGAATTTTCTGCTTATTTCAGAGTTTAGATTGCCTGAACTTTTTTTTTGTTTATTTATTTATTTTGAGAGAGAGAGAGGGAGAGGGAGAACGGTGAGGGACAGAGGGAGGGAGACAGAGAATCCCAAGCAGACTCCACACTGTCAGCACAGAGCCTGATGTAGGGGCTCAATCCCAGAAACCCAGAATGATGAGATCATGACCTGAGCCAAAATCAAGAGTCAGATGCTCAACCAATGGAGCCACCCAGGCGCCCCTAGATGGACTGAACTTCTTAATGCCCTCACAGGTAGGCTCTGGTCTTAGTAACTATAAAATCTTGTGAAAGTTTCCTGACCTCTTTGGAGCACAGTTTTGTCATTTGTGAAACATAGGGGTTAACAGGATGATTTTGTGACTACAGGCATCATTGTGCACATTGCATAAGGTAGAGAAATGTCAAATGTCAAATCCCTGTGCTGCACACCTGAAATGAAGATAGTATTGTATGTCAACTATGCTTCGATTGAAACAAACAAACAAACAAACAAACAAATAAAAGTCTTTTCAGTGAAGCGTTGAAGGCTCTTGCTCTAAAGTCAGGAACAAGACAAGGGTGTCTACTCTCACTACTCTTACTTAACACAGTTCTGGAAGTCCTAGCCAG